GCTCGGCCGCGCCGCCTTTGTGCTTGGCGCCTGGGTCACTTCACAAGTGACGCGGAGCTGCTGGCCACGCTCGGCTCTCCGAGCCCTTCGCCGTCCTCTCTCCTCCAGCAAGCACAGCCTCGGACACTTTCTTTTTCTTTTTCTTTTTTTTTTTGCAGTTGTTTTTTAGTTTCTCCAGCTCGGAAAAACTAAAAATTGATAGCAAATAAGCAGTGCCTCTTAATGCACCATGTGGTGCCGGTGCAACGTGTGGATGCAAACTAAGCTCTGCACCTTGCAGCTGCACGAAAGGCTCTGGGAACAGGTTATCGATAAACTTAGACAGCGAAGAGCTGCATCGCCTGCACTCAGAAGTGTTAGTCTTTGTGCAGCTCGGATCCTGACACCGATCTCTTTGATAACCCAGCCAGAGAGTGTGTGATCGGAGCTATTTCCGTTAAGCATGTTGATGTTACAGTAAATGTGACATGTGGGTGTTGATGGAAGGGACATCATTTTCGAGCCTGCTTTGGGCAACACCCTGAAGAGCAAGTCCCTTATTTGTGCTCCCCGGTGAAGCAGGCTGAGCTGCACCACGGGGTGGATTTGCTTTCAAGGTAGCAGGGATTTGCGCGCCGAGGATGCCGCATTTGTCACGGTGCCGCATGTGCGCCGGGGACGAGCCGGGGCGAGGGACCCCAACCGCAGGAGCGGCGTGCGGGGACACAGCGCTTTGGCCGAGGACCAGACCTTTCCCTCTTGCCCCTCTCCTTGCCTCCCTCCCATACCGTGTGCGAGGGAAAAGAGGAAAGGACATAGGCTGCAGACTTCTCCTTCTCCTTCTACCTTTGGTTCTGCGACACAATAATAATGCGAGGAAAGAAAATTCCACTGCCTGCACCCGGCCTCCACCACAGCACATGGACAAGTGCCTAGGGGTTGGTCTTGGAGGCCTCCAGAACAATTTTTAATAGCACCCTCTTTTCCCACTATTAATGAGTAGGGTTTTGAGGTGCTTGACAGGCAGAAAGTACTTAGCGTGCCCATTTCTTCTCATATAGGGTGTAAGGGTGTTGTACGCATGGGGCACGAGTGCTGAAACCCTGTCACTGTGCATGGGTTTGTGCATGGGTCACCGTGCATGGGCCGTGTCTTTATGGAGTCAAGAAAACTGTCCTCCCTGTTCTGGCATGGTGAGCAGAGCACGTAGAGCTTCTCAGTGCAAGGCAGGTTGTTTTGCTGGTCCAGCTGCACGAGTTTCGTGAAGCCACTGAGTGACACCGGTGCCATCAGTGTCCCCTGCGCTAAGCCCATCCCCATCTCTCTGCGTGCTCCTGGCGTGTTCTGAGACCTCCCTGGGTGTAGGAAGGTGCTGGGCACACCTTAGCGCACCTAGAAGAGCCGAGCCATGGCATCGGTGCGGGCTGGAAATAGCTTGTTTGCATTTTTTTTCCTTTTCCCACATACGGGAGATGGGAGGTTTTCCAGCATCCTTTTTTTTGGGGGGGGGGAGGGAAGACTTGATTTTTCGTTCTCAAAATAAATCACAAATAAATAAATAAATACGGATGAGGAAACACCCTCCTCCCCCTAAACCCAGCTACCAACAAAAAGAAATAAAACCACAGAGTTAAATTCAAATAATGTGAAGCGACTCATTTTAAACCCACAGACACAAGTGGAGTCAGAACTTTACATTGAGACTGGCCTAAGTTGCCCCATTGGCATTAAAGGACTCCTGAAACAGCATAAGATCTTGGCTGTTGTATTAACCAGGCATGACCCGATGCGTTATGGGCTGGACTTCCAGGCTTTTTTTTCTCTTTTCCTTTGTGGGTTTTAAACCTGTCCTGTAATGGTATTTGAATGTAGGTTTTTAATGGCTTAATTGAGTTATCAATAGGAGGCCTTTCCTTTTTTTATTCTGGCTAAAAAAATGCAAATTGACATGGATAAAATGCATTTGAAGATCCATTCAGTATTTTGTTTTTTATTCTTTTATGTCTGTTTCAAACCTCCTGAATGAGGGAAAGTAATATAGCTTTTGCATTGTGGGGTATAGGACTGGTCTCATGCCTGATGATTTATTAAGCTAAAATCAGAAATAGAGCCGAGGAAAAAGTCTTTGATACTTTGAAACCCAATTACTACCGATCACAAGGGCTCCATGTACCAAGAAAACGAAAAACTGATTTTCGGTAATGCAAAGACTGCCAAAATATGAAAGAATACCAGATGTTATTTTAAAAAAGTGCCACTGCAGAGTCCTTGGAAAGGGAGAGTGAGAGAGTGTAAGTGAATAGGCATATGTGGATTTAACTAATATTCAAATGAACTGTAGAACTGAAAGAAAGAATTCTCAACAGTTTAGCTGTTAAAGCCTCCTTCATCTTTCCACAGACGCATGGTCAGGACCCTTATCAAATGAAGCAGTTTTGCTATGTTTTCCAAAAGGCACAATTTAAATCACAGGGAAAGGGAAAAATAAAAGAAAAAACCCTCCTCACATCAAAAAGATAATAAAGTTGAGATCTGTGCTTTTCTTTTTATTTGTTATATATATATGCCAAAATTCAGGCTTTGTAATTTGAGAGACGTACTTTAATCTGAAAGCTTTACAGGAATGCTACGTGAAACTAGTAACAAGCATTTCCCTCCGCTGCCACTTTTATTTCGTATGACCCTTGGTTCAGTTCCTATTTTCATGTTGTCTTTTCCAGCTCTTTGTCCCATCTCCCACGTGTGTATGTGCGTGTGTCTCCGTGCGCATGTTTTTTTTTTTTTTTTTAATATTTTGACACTCTGCTCCCCCTTAATAGGAATTCTTCCCTAGAAATAGCGTGCACATTTCTAAAGGGCCCTTTCCACAGTCCTTTTCTTTTGGCTCTAAAATGATGTATATGTAATTGGTAATTAAAGGTGCAAGCGCTCTTCAATATAAACAATATTGCTCAATGTTAGATCATTAAAGGGAACCGCAGCACTAAATAATTACCTTTTGCATTGTGCCACACCGCTCACAGACATCCGCTCTCTTCCCAGCAGTCCCTCTTCAGCACAGGGTTATGGTTACATTTTCACTAAGGCAGGGCATCTTTTCATAAAATAAATTGCCGAATTAATTATGCAGTATTGTCTTCAAACTCCCTTTAAACTTAGATTAAGGGAAAAAAGGTAATTAATGGTTTTCAGGAGGGGTGTTAAGGCTTTGCGCTTGGTAGCCTTGCTGCGAGTTGGTGTAAGGAGCTCGAGCCTTCCCGTGCCCATCTCCGTTTCTAGCAGGTTGGTTCATGCTCGGGAGCCTCTTTGGGCTCCCAGTCCCTTCCCCGCTGCTGCTGGTGCTGCTGCTTGGTGTTCTGCTGCTAGTGAGCTCTGATGCAACTTGTAACACAGCTGGTAGATACACCAATCAATTATTTATTCTTCAAGGGGAAAAGAGGGGGCGATTCGTTTTCTAAATTGTCTTTTGCAAGGCTCAACCTTTTTTATTTTTTTCACCCTGCCAGGTTATATATTTCACCTTCCACCTCTTGTCTCTTTTCTGTGTGCCTTTTTTTTGCAATTTGCTAAAGATCAGGACAAGAGTCCTTTTGTTTTCAGCTGGGAGGAGGATCTCAATCTGGGTTATGACATCTGTTTAGCTCAGACTCACTTCTTTCTGAGATTCCGCTTTCTCCACGAAATTTATAAGCAAACTGTGGTGCTAACAGACAACATTTTTCCTACTGTTCCTTTAATCCTGATTAGATTATAGGTTTCACTCACTGATTTACATACTGTTAGTTCCTCTGTTTTGTTCAGCCCAAATCCTATAGTCCTTTCAGAGGCAACACAGCCTTAGGCAAAAATCAGTGGAAATTTTGCCTGAGTAAAGACCAAGGTTTGTATGATTTGGCAGTTACACAGTAGAGCAAGAGAAAACAAACCAAAAAAACACATTTTGCCCCAGAAATGGATTGTGTGATCCATAATTATTTTATAAAGTAAGAATTATCTACAAAATACCCATTAAAAAATGAAGCACTGTGCATGATTAATTGTGAAATGAGAAGTTACTTATTTCTTAGAAACTGATCCAGGTCACTCAGAAATGCCTTCTGAATCTTCGGGGGATAATGGTGTGAATTCCACCAGGTTCTCAGGCAAGATTCATACAAAAACATTGAATAACCTATTTAGCAACTGTATAGGCATTTGGCATCAGGCAAATGAGTGGAAGATTCAAGTTTCAGCCAATATTCCAGTATATTAAATAAATACTTCATTCTTTCTCCCACTGCATATGCTTTTGAAACCCCTTAACTTCTCATTAGACTGTATCCTGCTTACCTTACCCTTATACAAGGTTTGCCATAGCTTGTGCTAATGGTGGCTGTTTAATCTTGCTGCTATCTAAAGGCACAAGGCGGTGCTATTTTTGTGTGCTGCAGGGAACCCGACCCGGCTGTTTCAGAACATGAGGGTCTTATCCCCTTGCTTCCTCTCTTCCTGAAATCAAAGGAGATGTTTGGGTGCATAAGATTTGCTAAATGGGGCCTTTGCCAGGTGGTGGGGAGATGCTGTGAGAATGAGAAGGTGGGTTACAAAAAGAGGAACCGTTTCATAAAGTGACTTGGGGCTCGAATGCTTGCAAAATGGCTCTTTGCTGATATTCTTGCAGTGCTGGCAGCAGTGGGAAGGAGCTGTCAGGAAAGCTATGCCAGGTCAGCCTTTCCATTTTGTTTCAGGCAGGCTTGGTTGCAAAATATATTGAAATGATTATGGGAGAGCGGAAAAACTGAAAAATAAAAGAAAGATCTAATCAGGCTTGGCTTCTTTTGGGGGGAGGCTGGGCCTCATGTGATGCATCCTTCAGAATGTGTGAACATTCAAAGCAATCTCTCTCTCTTCTCCCCTTGCCCCTTTCCTCCCTTTCTTCTTGTCCATGTAAAGCAGAGGCCGACCATGTGGAGCCGGCAATCGCCGACGAGGATGAGAGCCTGGCACTAGCAGAGCCGGGTGGCATCGGCATCGCCGCAGGCGGGACAGACCCCGACTTGTTAACCTGTGGACAGTGTCAGATGAACTTCCCGCTGGGAGACATCTTGGTTTTTATAGAGCACAAGAGAAAACAGTGCAATGGCACTGGTGGTGCCTGCTATGAAAAGAGCATGGATAAGAGCAGCCCTCCCCCCTCCTCACGCGCCGAGCTCAGGAAAGTGTCAGAGCCAGTGGAAATCGGGATCCAAGTCACACCCGATGAAGAAGACCGTCTTCTCACGCCTACAAAAGGAATTTGCCCCAAGCAGGAGAACATTGCAGGTACAGCATGTTTTACACTCAATCAACTGCCTAGGTAATCTTTTAACGAGAGCCCTCTAGAAAGTGCCATGAAACAGAGGCTTCAGTCGCAGGTCTCTGTAGGAGCCATCAGTCTGGAGGACCCTCACGGCCACACAGGGCTCAGCAGGGCGGCTCACCCCACGGGTAACTCAGGGTAGCGACCTGAGACAGGACAGCTGTCTGAGAGAGGCCTCCTCCATCTGGGACAGCAAAGAGCCAGCCTGTACACATGGGAGAAAGGGCAAGGTTGGGATCAGAGAAGCTGTTTCAGGAGTGTCCTTAAGCAGGTAACTGCAGTAGAGGGATAGGAGGACTGGGTAATACGCTGACTTCAATTCTGTTGGATACCCCATGTAACACTGTGTGGTCACAGTGGGAAGGGCCAAATCTGAATTCCACTGAAGTCAATGCAAAAAACTCGTTGGCTCCAGTAGGAAGGAGATTTGGTTCTAAGGGCTGAAGTGGGGCTTCACTAAGTCCTTGCTTTTTCCTTCTGCTGGTGGCAAGTTTCAGCTCTCATGTCTGAACTACTGACTGTGCCACCAACCCTGGGTCTCTGCAGATTGCTGGAATCGGGTGGGGAGCTCTTCCATTCTAACGCATGCCCCAAATGGGGCTTTCAAAGGGGAGATGGGAGCATGAGTTGGCCCAGGCAAGCAGATTACGGGCACTTCTTTTTCTAATACTCTTGGGCATTTTAGAGAAACTGGGTGTGTAGGTTAAAGTTGCTCCAAGGCAACTGTGACACTGTGTAGTTAACATTTACTCAGTGGTCTCACTGATGGGCAGGCGGGCGATGGTATCTACCTGGGTGAGCTGTTCCGAAACAGCCCTGCAGAGCGCACGGCGTGGGGCAGCTTCCGGCGTGCAGACCGTTTCTTCTCTCTGCAGCCGTGTGCTTTGCTGCAGCATCGCGTGCGCTGCTCATGCTGGGCCCTGCTACAGAGTGGGCTTTTTATAGTGCACAGCAGGATATCCTCCCAGACTGGCCTTTTGTTTCAAGTGCGCTATATCCTTCCCATACAGACCACCAGTGGCAAATTGTCACTGCTGTCGCTCTCCCGGTTTCTCTAGGAACTGTCACATGGGATTAGGGCTGATGGTCCAGGGTCCTGCCTGTAGTAGAGATATTCCCTGAAAGGGATCCACAGAAAACCTGCATTAGTTACGTGTGTGGTGTCAGACCCTCTCTTTGCAATTGAAGCTTAACAGCTTTCTTGCTTTTGGACCTCCTCCTGTCACTGGAGGTCTCTGATTCAGCCCCCCTTTCCCTATGATGGGCTTGTCTATCACAAAAAGGAAGATCTGGATTTGAACTGCTGAAGTCTCTTCAGATCCTCCAGATCTCCTGTTGTGGGACAGGGCACATGCAACTCATTGACTAGACTGTTGTCTTCTATGAATTCTTCACGGGTGCAGTCACCATCTTAGCATGGGAAGACTTTGGGGACATTGCAAGTGGCAGCAATTGTAGCGTTATAAGCAGCCCTGCTGTGAAGCTTGACCCCTTCTTTCCTCATCCCCTGGCTGTTGTCAATGTGTTTCCTGGCAGACACGACTGCTTCACAGTGTAGTAGCTTTCTGAGGGCTAGATTTCCTTCCTGATCGATTTTCCCGAAATATTGAGGACCTTCTTCAGTTTATTGAAGGCATCCTGAACGATGCTGAGCACTCTCAACAGCTTTTGGTCTCTATGCAAGCTGATAGTGCTCAGCCCTTGCAGAAGATGCTCAGTGCTTAGCAAAGTTGGTCCTGAGGATTTATGCTGTAGCCATAACCCAGATCTCATCTCTTACTAATCTGTGCCCACGTTTGGCTGGTAATGCAGTTGGCCAGACCTAGCTCAGAGGCTGCTGCCCAGGGTCTGCGGGGCAGCACCAGTGTGACTGGTGTCTTTGCCATATCAAGAATTCCCTGCGAGGGGGGTGAGACACTCACATGTGGAAAAGGCATTAAAAAAAAAGAAAAGCCAATCTGGAGCACCTAATCTCTTTCAGATTAAACTGAATATCAAATGAAAATATGTATGAAAGATTTTGCGTTGACAAAAATAAAAGAGTTTATCATTTGATTGGCATTTTCTCAGCAGTGCACGGAGATAGGAACATCCACTAAACAGTGCAGTAATAATGCTTTCTCAATTAGGAGCCCAGCTCTGAGATAAAAAGGTGCAGTGTCCTTCCATATTTTTTTTAATAGCAGCGGATAGTTTTCAATAGTAGGATAAAAGCTTCACATTACAGCCATGGAGGGTAGCCATGAAAAACCCACAGAAGTCATTCACTGGAAAGGCTTTAGTGGGATATACCAAACCCCTTATTTATATTTCAATAGAAAGGCTTTCTGCATTAGCCAAGAAAATCAGAATCTGCATTTAACATTAAAGGTATTTCCCAGTGAGCGGCTGTAGAGCATTGTTGTTAGATTTGTTAAAAAAAGAGACTAAATACGATTTCATAAAAGGGAAACTTAATCTCTAAGGCAGCTTTCTCCCACCCCGCCACCCTCTCCCTTTATTTTTTTATTTTTTTGGTAATAATGCAACAGCCTACAGTATTTTTACTTTATATGTGACGAAAGATATTCTTAGCCTTTCTGTACTGCGACAGGAAGAATGAATTTCTTTATTCCACCAAGAAATATGTAAAATAATCCCTTAGAAGTATGGGGAGATATGTTTGTTCAAAGCATTTAAAATGTTATTTTAATCAAAGGCACAAAACACTCTACATGCTGTGTCAGCTAAAGGAGACCATTACATTTTAACAGCAAATCATGTTCTTTTTCCTCCTCCTAGCTAGCCTCCCCCTCCCACTTTGAAACTAACTTTTTTATTAAATAAAAAGAAGAAAAAGATTAAAGAATAATAAAAAAAACTTCAGTGGCTCAAATGTATAAAATAATTTAATATGGTGGAAGCATTAATTATTTTAGCTTAATTGAATTCTGAGGACTGCAGTAGTTGCATTTTTGTAGACAAGCTCTGTTTATTATTTCTTTGTGTAGATTAACAGTAAAGGAAACATAGATAACTTTCAGTTATTTATTGTAAAATAAATGTGTCAATTCATGTGTAAAGCAAGCTGTTCAAAGATAATTGAGTCTTTATATTTGAAGAGGGAAACCAGAAATCACCCACTCGCCACTCTGGCTCCCTGAAATATGCTGCCACTGCTGCTGCCCTCAAATAGGTTTCAGCTACTCTCCTTGATCTTGTGTTATTTTTGTAGACCTTCTTACTCGGTTGAAATGATTTGCGTGGCCTTGTGCTGTGTGACTAAGCTGCAAAACGTTACAGCTTCCCATAGCTGAGCATAGTGAGGGCAAGGCGAGCGCTGAGCCCGGCTTTGCCGTAGCACCTCTCTTCCCCCTGGGTGTGAGGGTGCTTCACACGGGGCACCCTGCGGAGCGTTAGTTCTCATGCAGGGTGCTCTGGTGTTGTGAGGTCTTTCCTTCTTTCTCCTTGGTAACTGCTCTTTCTCTGGTCACTTATCTCTTGACGTGGTGTCAGGACTCGTGCCACTGAGAGGGAGGCAGGTAGCTCTCAGGAATCTGCAAGAATTTGCATGTGCACCGTGCAAATCGCCAACTGACATTTCTAGATTTCGGTGGAGACAAAGGCAACTTTATCTCTGCAATCAGCTTTTAAAGACTGTCTGATAATGAAGTCTGTAATCTTTCCCTGTCTTCTAACTTGCACATCTAAGCTTTTCAAGGCACTTTAATTTAGTTACCCCTGTCCATAAGGTATGTGGTAGTACGTTACCTGGCACTATGAGGACGTGATTCACTTAGGAGCAGTTTGTCCTGTGAAGTTTTGTTCGAATTTGGCTGACCTGTCTGAAAATCCGTTCTGCCTTTCATACAAAGGCATCTGTATCAAGCAAATGTACCAGATTGTTGCACAGCAAAATAAAATAAGACCAATGAATTTGCTAGGAGTTATCTCTCACTGCTTCTTTTGCTTTATCAGTGGCAGATAATTTGGAAAGTTTGACTACCATTGTATCTTATAACTCTTTTTTAACTTTCTTATTTATGAGATCTTGGCATGACCAGTTCATCAGGTCTGGTGCAAGAAGGCTGCGGAAGGGTGGCTCCTGCTGTTCTTTAATAGTGGGTATCTCCTGTCCTTCTCTAGGCTCTCATGGTTTAGCTGGTCACCAGCCTGTTCACTAGCAGGGATCTGTGAAATAATCCAAATTAAAGAAAAACAATAGCAGTCTTCTTGTTTTTAACCCTGGATTAATTGACAGAGCCCAAGCAATGAGATGAGGAGCTGCTAACCTGTCAGAGCAGGGGGGCAGAGGGCCTTGAAATGAAGAGAAGGGAGCCTCCACTGGGGGCAGGGACCACTTAGATCAGATTTTCTCCAGCTTCACTGGTTCATCTGATCATTACCTTTCTTGGTGCTCTGGGCAGTTCACCCTTCCAGACAGATTGCTAGAGCAGCAGTGGAGATTCATTAAGACAGCACAGTTAATTTCTGCAAAGACAGTGCTAGGAAAGGGAAGCGAGTTGATTTGAATTCCTCATTCATCCAGCCTGGGCCGCCAATGCCGGGCTCCATACATTATGTACTTGAACTAGATGTGCATCATGAAAAAAGGCTCCCTGTCAGATGCAGGATTTAACTGCAACCCCTGCTCCATGAATGTTCATTTCAGGCTTTTGAATGGTAAAACTGCCAGTGAGGGAAACTAAATAACTCACATGTGCTGGAAGCCAGAGATAAACACCGCCGCAGGTTGCCACGAAATAGGCTATTTGATATATTTAGAATTGTTATTTTTCTCCAAATTAAGATTAGTTAAATCCATGTGTGTTGTGTGAGTGATTGTTAACTCAATGGCACGGATTATCCTTTTTTCAAATCATGACAGCTAATTATTATTGCTGTCTACTCGGAGACATTCACTTACAATGTACCATTATGGACCTGTGCGCCCATATTAACTATAGGACTCAGACAGTCATCG